GGCCAGCACTGCGCTGTCCGCGGTGCTAGTCTCCCAGCTCTGGAGACTGACCTTCCCCTGTCTAAGGTCTGGAACAGACTGACTCTCCTCTCCCTGAGCAGCCTTTTTATAGGGCTGAGCCCGGCCCTGATTGGCTGTCTCCAATCTGGGCCCCGATTGGCTCCCAACAAGCCCTCCTCTAATTGGCTGCCCGTCTGTGCGGGCACACTGGTCTGCTGCAGCCCACACTCTCAGGGAGTGGGACAGTCGCCCCACTACATACGCTTAGAAACAAAGGCTCAAGTCACATCAGAACTGCCAAACTGGATCTGAACAATGGTCTCTCTAGCTCAATATTCTGTTTCCAATAGTGTCTAGTAACAGATACTATCTCTGAGATGTAGGCCTAGTCGACACCTAGAAGTTTTATCAATATAACTATTTCAGTTAGTGGGGTGATGTTTTCAAATTTAGATTTATACCAGCAAAAGCCTTAATGAGGACTCAGTTCTAATGGTTTAAAAGTGCTTATAACAATATCACGTACTCCCCTTCTGATACAGGATTTAACTACACTGGTGTAAGTATTTGTAAACCAATATAACTGTGCTCACACTTTGTGTGTGTGTGCGTGTGCACTACTTGAATTATACCAGTAGAACTACGGTATAATTTAAATGTGTAGGCAGGTCCAGAGTAATGAAAAACTATGGAATAGGCTCATAGACGTTAAGGTCAGAAGGAACCATTATGATCATCTAGTCTGACCTCCTGCACAATGCAGGCCACAGAATCTCACCCACCCACTCCTGTAACAAACCCTTAACCTATGTCTGAGCTATTGAAGTCCTCAAATCGTGGTTTAAAGACCGCGAGGTGCAGAGAATCCTCCAGCAAATGACCCGTGCCCCACGCTGCAGAGGAAGGCGAAAAACCTCCAGGGCCTCTGCCGATCTTCCCTGGGGGAAAATTCCTTCCCGGCCCCAAATATGGCTATCAGTTAAACCCTGAGCATGTGGGCAAGACTCACCAGCCAGAACCCAGGAAAGAATTCTCTGTAGTAACTCAGATCCCACCCCATCTAACATCCCATCACAGGCCATTGGGCATATTTACCTATACAGAGATCAATTAATTGCCAAAATTAGGCTATAAGGAAGATTTCTCCGCCTCCCTCCCGCCCCCAACAATAGGCAGTTAGTGGCTAGCTTATGTCCTGAAACCATGAGGGTTTATATATCCCTTATAAATATTTCATCTAATGTAACTATGGACGTTTTATTGTTCATATAAATACTTAAGCTTTTTAAAATGCTGCTAAACTCTTGGCTCTAATGTTATGCTCTAGCAGTGAGTTCCATGGGTTAACAGTCCCAAGTGTAAACGAAGCATACATTACCCACTGCAATACCATTGGATGAACTCAACCAACCACATTCAGTGAGTCAGCTGACATTACTTAGGGTACGTTTATACTTACCTCCGGGTTCGGTGGTAAGCAATCGATCTTCTGGGATCAATTTATCGCGTCTTGTCTAGACGCAATAAATCGATCCCGGAAGTGCTCGCCGTCGACACCGGTACTCCTGCTCTGCGAGAGAAGTACACGGAGTTGATGGGGGAACCTGCCTGCCGCGTGTGGACCCGCGGTAAGTACCTTGTAGTTCGAACTAAGATACTTCGACTTCAGCTACATTATTCACGTAGCTGAAGTTGCGTATCTTAGTTCAAACTGGGGGGTTAGTGTGGACCAGCCCTTAGTGCGAAAGGGGGGCAATTCTGTAGCCTATGAGCATTAAACAGCCTTCAAAGATACTACAGCACGGTCCATTACTTTTGAAATGGCAAGTGTAAAGGGCAGTGTGCAGAGAGCTATCAGTTATGGAAGGAAAGAGCCTCAGGTACAGAAGCTGGTAGTTCAGACAAAATACCGGACATTCTGGTTGGGATGAAAGTCAAGTCAAGTCATCATTTATTAACTGTTCGGAAGCTACTAAAGACAGCAAATAGACAAGCCATTCTCATGTCCTTCCAGGCATAGCGATCATTTAAGATCTAAACTATCGGGTTGACTTTACTTGGAATTTATTTATTTATTTAACCGTTCTCTATAATAATATAATATAATAATATATGGAGATATACCTATCTCATAGAACAGGAAAGGACCCTGAAAGGTCATTGAGTCCAGCCCCCTGTCTTCACTAGCAGGACCAAGTGCTAATTTTGCCCCAGATCCCTAAGTGGCCCCCTCAAGGATTGAACTCACATCCTTGGGTTTATCAGGCCAATCCTCAAACCACTGAGCTATCCCTCCCATATTAATTAATTAATTAACATGTAATATCTGCAGCCACGTTAATGGTATTGCAACAAATCTGTGCCCATCTACAGCTTCACAGCTGTCAGCATGCTGCAGATTCAGAACATATTCAGAAACATATTCAGTGGGGATAGAACTTGAGTCCTCCTGCTCCAAAAGTCCAAGACCCTCCTTTTTGAGCTAAAGGAGACAAGCCTTTACTACCTCTAACTGTTTATAACACACTCAACACTGTGGTATCTCAGTACATACAGCAGTAGAGGGCCTATGAAACACAGTTGAGCCATTCCCATTCTCACCAGTGAATGGCAACGGTACACATGCACACTAGCAAGTTTGTTGAAATTACAGTTGGTTAAAAATTGTTGCCAAAAAATAGCTATTTTTCAAACTGAACATGTTTTGCTTCTTTAAAAATGTTCTGGTATCGCAACAAAAACATCTCGATTTTTAAAATCCAAAACCAAGCAGAATTCTTTTCTGGTTTCCGTTTTTCATTGAAAAAAAAATGAAAAAAAGTTTTTTTTTTTTTTAAAAGATATTTTTCATGGAAAATCCTTTCCATGTTCCAGCCAGCTCTGAGTGCAGTATTGATATATCGCTGTCACACCAAAGACAGGTATGTGATTTTTGCATCCCAACTACTATATATATATGTGTAAAAGAATGTGTGTGTGGAGGGGGAAAAGGTAACTTCATCCAGTCATGACTAAGCATCTAGCAGGGAAATGGGCCAGGGGTGTGTAGAGATCACTGCGCCACAAAGTGCAACAGTGTGCACATAAGGCAAAAGCCGCTTACAATGCTGACCTCAAAGGCCTAATCCTGCTAAGCACTGAGCCAGCTCAGCTCCTACCATCATCAGTGGGACTCAGCACTTCTTAGGAGACCCTTCACAACTGGGCTATGAGGGGCTGTCATTTACCCCCACTTCCCCCGCGCACCAGATTTTCCCCATAGAGTGGACTCATCCTATCTTAAACTGTATTACCTACTGACTTTGGGGGCCTGATTCGCCGCTGCCCAGCATCTCCTGCTGCCGTTCGCACCCGTGCAAAGTGACTGCAAAACACAACCGTTCTGATTTGCTGGTGGTATGTCCCCACTTCGCACTAGTGTAAATGGCGGCCCAGGCTCAATGCAATGGCCGACCAAGCTCTGGGCTTGTATTTCTTCCAGCGATGAGGAGGGGACCTGTTTAGACAATGCCATTTCCTAGTCATCTCTCCCAGGCTCCCGTGAAAGGGGAGGTGGGGGGAATGCTGTGTCGTCAATGAGGCCTTGCGGAAATAGCCTGCGGGAGGAAGCAAGATCAGTGACCTTCCCCCGCGGTGCACACTTATGTGGCGATAGCTCTTTTCTGCTAGAGACCTAACAAGATGTCTTTATCATCATCATCATCACTGAACCTGATAACTTAGAGGGAAACCATTCTAAGGATACAACCTCCCATAGAGAAAACCACATGCACCAGAGGGAAGCAATTAGAGTGACCCCGGTACCATGGAGGCAGCACAAACTGCTCAGTTAATGCCAGCCTCAGCAGCGCCAGGCTGCCCAGGTATCAGAGGTGCTATTCTGAAAGCGACACCCATCCGGGGACTGTGCACAGCTTCCATCTTTTTAATTTTTTCCCCCTTGCTGTTTCTAGTGACCCCCTGGGAAAGTGGGGCCAATTTCTGTGACCAAACTGGGTTTTCCACCATTGGGCTGAGCGGATGGCATTGGCCTCTCCCCTTAACAACAATATTTTGTTCTCCCCTAATGCAGGGCCGGCTCCAGGCACCAGCGGAGGAAGCATGTGCCTGGGGCGGCACATGCTAAGGAGCGACACTCCGTCCATTCTTGGGGCAGCGCAGGCCGAGCGGCTTTTTTCTTGCTTCGGTAGTTCGGGCGGCCTTTCTTTTTCACTTGGGGCGGCAAAAATGGTAGATCCGGTCCTGTCCTAATGCCTCGCAACCAAAGATCTCACCGCACTTGACAAGCTTGAAATAATTAAGCCTAACAGCCCTCCATGAGCTAGACAGGCACTATGCCCCCCCTTGGCAGGAGGGCAGCTGCCAGGGGTGCCGGAATGGGGAGGCAGGAGGCCATCACCTTTCACTTTTAGAAGTGGGAGGGTTATGCCCTCCCACGTTTTACCTGGCGTAAGGGGAGCGACAGAGGGGGGAGGAGTGAGTGGGGGGTGAGCTCCTAGATGGACGAGGCAGTACGGGGGTGAGGCCTTGGGGGAAGGGGCCGCGCAGGGGGTGGGGCCATGGTTTGGGTGCCCAACGCCCCTCCCCCCCTCAGTTTTTAGGGAGTTTTCGCTGTCCCTGGCAGCTGCCAACTTGCCCTGGAGCTAGACAGTGGAACCAGGAGTCCTGGCACCCATTCCAGGGCCCTCTTTGCAGGGTGAACGAGCAGTGAGCCAAACAAGAAGAGAGTGAAGAGACTGCAAGACCCCACAGATAGGAGTTGCATCGGCTTTGCCAAAAAGATACACGGCTCCTTTGGATCTTAGCAACGTGAGAGCATCCCTTTAAAGGCCATTCCCAACCGCACTCCTGAGAGTGGATAAAGAATTCCGATGTAAGAAAAGGAGAAAGTGGAAAGACCAAGGCCTTATCAAACACAAACATAAGGATAGAATGGAGGGTTACGAAACTGGATTTTTCATCAATCACCATAGCTAGGTTAACTCCTAATCCTCCCTCACCTCTGCACGCCGGCCTCTGGTCACTCCAGGCAGCAATCATGTCACTCAGTTTCTTACAGGTGATGCTCTTGGAGCCCCTGTAAATCATAGCCTTCATTACAGGTGAACTGGATGCTGGATCCTAACCTAGTAGACAGAACCAAAGGGAGCTAATTAGCATTGGAGAAACTAACAAAGCAACAGTGTTTGTCCTTTGCCTTCTTTGACTCCTCAGTGATTCGCCATAATGTGAATAACAATAGTTCTCTGGCTTCCAGGGCATAGGATGGGATGAACAATGGTCAGTATCTTTCCTCATGCATTTGCTTGTGTTGGGAGCTCATTTCCTAAGGCAATTATAGTCTAATAGGAGGCCAGAGCTTTCAACATGACTTCAGGAGACATTTCCTCAGTGCAGAAGCATAGGTTTGCGCCCTACTTCATTACATGCTCAGCATTTTTATAAATGACAAAATAAATAAGAAAAAAAAAATACACCGAGTGCTGGAAAGACTTGTTAATTCCACTGTTTTAGCACCAGAGACTCAGCTGGTGTAACCCAGTGCAGCCCAATTCACAAAAATGAAGTGATGATTTACACTAGCTGAGAATCTGGCACATAGTATTTAAGAACTCTGTTTCCAGCCCCTTTTCTTCCCTCGCTCACAAATCCATTTTGTGGATTTCAGGGAACTTGATGGTTTCAGGTTAGACATTTTTAGTGAACAGAAAGCAGTCGACAGAGAAATAAGATTAACGATTGATCTGTCATTGCTAACAGCTGGCTGATTTATTCCTGCACACTTCACATGAAGGCCAGCTACTAAAGTAGGACAAAGGCATTGTTTTAACCGTTAGACGAGAACAATTATCCAACAGTACCTATGCTTATTGACAAAGGGTCGACATAGCGTTCTGGGAAGCTGTCTCAGAAGCCTCTATGGACAGAGCCCTGCGGTGACTCATGCTAATGTAAAACAAGGCCTTTTGTTTGTTTAAAACGTTTCTTGCTGCACTTAACCAAAAGGAAAAAATGAATTACAAAGAATCCTGATTGCAAAAGCTTGGTTACAAGGCTGATTATACACCCTCTCTCTCTCTCTCTCTCTCACACACACACACGCACACATACACACAATTTTTCTATGTCACTTATCACTGCAAGATTTTCAGACATAAACCATTTATTGGTGTACAGTGGGTCGCTAAAGAAAGAGTATACAACACACAAAGCCCATATGGTGGTTTTGAACAGTAGCTTTGTTGCATGCAGAAGAAACACATACAAGGTTCTTACCTAAAATCGTTGCCTATTCTTTTGCCTCTCTCTGGAATCCCAGGGTCTGGACACATATTATGTCCCTGGGACACACCAACCTGAGTTACTACAAAGCAAAAACAGCACATACAGAGATAGAATAGCACAGGAAAACATCATCTTATATCGACTGTATTGGGGTAGGTGGATGTGAAGAGAAAATGGGTAATTGCTAGTTGGAATGCATTAGCTTTTTGTTTTGTTTTAATTTGGAAACAAGCGTAACTGAAGTCATTTCAGCTCAATTTATGCACCATGTTTTTCTGCTCAATGCCAGTGAGCAACATGGCTTTCTCTTCGTTACACTACAGACGCACCATTGTAAAAGAAGTCCTGCGTTTTGCAAAATTATACCAATTAAAGAGAATGTTTCCAAAGACTGTTGTTAAAAAGGCCACCTGCAGCATGACAAGGTGTGTCCCTAGTGCCCATCAAATTCCCATCTGACTGGTGCCAGTGAAAGAAAACAACTCAATAAAAGGTGGATGTGTGATACAAACCGCCCAAAATAAAAGCCAGTCTAAAGTTTTAAAGTAAGTCATTACGTTTGAATATGAAAACTTTTATGGAGCAACCTGATATAGCTGCTTATAAACAAGAGGCATCAGCACTGAATAAACACATCTGTACGTTTGACCCCTTTCCCATTTCCTCCCGCAAATCTGTCAAATGGCGCAAACAAGCGTAGACTCAGAGAATGGATAAAACATGGATGGTTCCCAACGAGGATCAAATGAGCTCTGGCAATATGTTGATTTCAATTTTACATTTTGAAAACCACCAACAAATTTTTTTTCATGCACACTAATATCAGAAAAGGAACAGTTTTGTCATGGAGTGGCTGAAGTCTATATGATTCAATTTTCTCACATCGCAGAGGAAAAGACGCAGGGAAAGAATGTGGCATTTCTCGGCAATGATGCTGAAGCGATGAAGCATGAAACATAAATGAGCATGCTTCCATCCTGCCTTGGCCTAGCTCACTAAATGAAAGGAAGCCAAACCATCCCCTCAGTTACACGCCTTCAGAGCACTCGAGATTGGATGGCAATCCGATGGAAAGCACGTCTTTCACACGGCATGAGTGTACCCGCAGCGTTAGTGCCACGGGACACCGTGCACGCTGGAAAAGGTGTAGGGGTGTGGGAACGTTTCTATGGAACAATAGATGCACATGCACTGTCTGTGGAGACATGGTCCCACGGACCACTGAGTATGCTAAAGGCAAGAAAGCTCCATTTAGCAATTTTTCACTATACAGTTAAACCCCACTTTGTCGTTAGGTACTGCGCTTGCCAAGTGCGTGAGACACCGCTGCTCTCAGACGGATGGAAGGAGCCATCTGCTCCCAGGGGTTCAAAGCTTCAATCCCAATGCCTTACAAGGAGCTGCGGCTGACACATGCTGGAAGCCTTAATATTGTTAGAGCAAATACAGGTTCCCCTTTGGTTCCAGTGCTACAGGAGCATGACTTTGCGGGATGGAGGTCCTCAGCTGCATGCCGAGGCAGACACAACACCTCTCTTTCTAAAGGATTTTCTACACAGCTCATCCCCGTAGTATCTGAATGCCATGCCTTCATTGAGAGGCATGAAGAACAAGGCCCTTCTCTTCCCTCTCCTTAATCCTGACATCTTACACTCTTCGCCACTGCTGCTCTACAAGGATTTAAAATATGTATAAAATAGATTCTTCACCTTCAGCCTCAGCCACAATCCTTTCACTAAACTGCCCTCTTCACCCCAACACAGCATCTGCCAGCGTATCTTCAGGACCCAGATGCTTGCTAGGATCTTAGTGCAGGCTGCACCACCCAACTCCTTTGACACACTGCAGGAGCTACGCAACCACAAGGGGAGATGTGGTGTCCTGCTGTCTCCAAGTGCCATGTTTCACAGGCTCTAGGAGCAATCTCTCTTAGAGGCGTCTTTCCAACCTTGTGGATACCAGGGCATCCTCAGAACGCTCTGATTAATTTGTACACACAGGCTCAGGGATGCCAGAGCAGCCAGGGAAACAAGCAAAAGAAATAGCATCAATACAATGGTCCACGCTTTATTTCCTGTTTGCTATGTTTTAGAACAACAAAATTTGCTGCCACCTTTTATATATCCGGGGGACTCTGAATGTGTGGAGAAGTTGGGAGGGAACTCCTCCTTACAGAAGAAGATCATGCTATATATATTTGCAATACAGTGTCAGATTAGACAGGAATCATCTGATAATGTAGGCAGCCATTAAAAAAAAACCTGTTTCCTGAATGGGCACCTCCATTAGTTAACAGAGCTGCCAAATACCCAGTGGTTTTTCCTTCACAGAGATTTGTGAAAATATTTCCTTTGGTTATGAGAGGTGAGAATTTGTACCACCAATCCTCCACTCCCCCTTTGAACATCATACTCAAACACACACAGATCCTCAAAGCAAAACACAGATGAAAGCTCCATGTTTTACCTGGATTTCAATGGAAATGAATGTGGTGTAACTTAGATTTGAAATCACAAAGAAGGCCCAGAGTTGCTGGAGGGGTCTGCCAGTTTCAAGAAAGATATCAAGGCAACTGGCCTGAATTTCGCAGTCCTTAAGCAAACCCCGAACTAGGAAAGCACTTTGCATTTTGGTGCAAACATTTTGCACAGCTTTCATAGTCTGAAACAGGGAGCAGAAGCTGTAGAATAGAACACGTACGCAACCTGGAAAACCAGCTGAATGACAAAGGGTAATTTCTTTGAGACCTGAAGCCCACTGAGGGATGCACTGAAATGCAACCCAGCACAGTGGCTCAGACAGAGGCAATCCAGCCAGACATGTGCTCTATCTGTCTTAATACCATGCAAGTGATACTTATGTTATATTGAAAATCAGGCTGCTAAATGTACCATGGGCTGCTAAACAAGATGCATTCCTGGGCTGCTGATCTGCTACGATGCAGCGCACCTTGGAAGTGCTTTGTGTGTCCTTGGAAAATCAACTGGAATCAGCAGCAAGGAAAGGTGGATATGGGGCTCCAGCAATGAAGGGGTTGGATGGCCTCTGCCAAAGCAAACAAACAGAAAAGTCAGGGTAAAATGGCCTCCAGAATCCAGGAACAAGGGAGCATGTTTTAGGAAAGGAGTTATTTTCACTGGAAACATTTCACAAACAACAAAACCAGCAACAAATATCTGCCTCCCAGAGGGACCCTTGAGCAGGACATCAGCTCTTTAAAGATGGACAAGGTACTTGTGGGAATGACATCATCCATCTGTGTTACCCAGTGGGGTGATGGAAGTGTTGGAAATAACTAATCAGTTCTGGGAAAGGAGAGGTCTGTAGGGTGGGTCAATCAAGTCACTCGATTTTCCTTTGGGTTTCTTAATTCTATTCCGCCTCCCTGCACCCACGTGATATGAATTACCCACCTCAAGGCAAATCTGCTGGGCCTAACTTTCATGTATGTGCAGAGATGTCGCGACAATGAAAAAAAATGGTCTAAGACCCGGGGAGGGAGAGTGGGTGTTGACCATATTTGCAGTGTACAAATCACAAGTGTTCAAGGTGATAAACACTACGATTTCTTCTTTCATTCCTACGCCTTTTCCCAGACCAAAAATGCATTGTTGTGCAGATATGCACACAGGGTATATGTCACGTGGTCTCCAATACTTTTACTGGGGATGGGTCAGCATTTAAGCACTTGAGTTCTCGAAGCATCTTGCAGAGCAGCTTCCAACAACACAGACAGCACGTACCGCCCTACCCAGAGTCTTCCTTGCAGCTTTCTAAAAAGACAATAACATTATCCATGTATCCTCCAAAGTTACTTATTTCAAATCCATTCCATTGAACGTACTAAGCCCCATACGAGATGGCGATGCAACTGGAGCCCAGTGGCCCATCGGAATTGACCCGAGGAAGTGGGACATCAAATTGAGTCACGTATAACCCAAAGGCACCAGAGGAGCAACAATCAACTATCCATCACATCGGTGACTCCTGGAAATGGTTATTTCCCTGTACGCTAGCATGTTATTAATATCCACTTAATAAAGGACAGATAAGCCAGCAGGTCGGGTGATAAAATAGGGAGCAGGGGGGAGAGAGAAAAGTCACCCGGATGTCCTGGTAGTTGGGATATTATAAATGTAAACGTGGAGTGAGAGAGAAGGAGGGGAGAGGATGCACTGGATGGCTCACCCACAACTCTTGCTTCTGACTATAATGCACAAACCTTCCCTCTTCTGTTATTTATTTATTTTTAAAGAGAGAGAAATGCCTTGATTTAACCCTGCGCGAGGCTATAAACCATATTTGCCATGCTGACAATTTGTTGGCAGGTCTGCTTTCATTTTACAAGAGGTTTGACTGAGCTGAGCTCCGGGCTCTGGCGTTGTCAATGAATTCTTCAAGGTTACGGGGGAAACGATAAGCCTCAGTCTTAATGAACTGTTGACTTTATAAATTACAGATTCGAGAGTTTTCTTCCCCAAAGGGTTGTGGGGGTTTTCTTCTCCCCCTCCTTCCCTCTTCTTCTCCTTTTGCCAACTCTAATTTCTTTCCATCCCCTATTCAGAAGCAGCCAATTGTGATTGCATTGTTTGCCAAAGTAATTTACTCCTTCTACTGAAAGAAGAGCTAAAGAGGATGATCCTCAATTTTCCCCCTCACGTTAATAAAGGAATTTCATTGATGCCTCTCCTGGGGGCAGCTTTCTATTGAATTTAGGATTGTTTAATATGAGCTACAAGATAAAAGAGAAGTATTTAATAGAGAGGTACAACTCCCCCCTCCCCCCCTGAAAGTTTCTCAGTTCAAGGAAAGCAGAGAAGAGATGCAAGCAAGCTCTTCTATTTTAAAATAGGATTTCAGTAGCCATCATGTGTTCTGAAGAGGTACAAATGAAGCTGGATGATTTCTAAGGTCTGACTACACTGAAAAAAGGGGGTATCTTAACTTGGGGTTAATTAACTTGGGTTAAAATAGCAGTGAAGACAAAGCAGCTCCACTTTTAACTTGGGTTGGCCTGAGTTCACACCCAGGCTCTTCTAGACTATGTCCACACTGCAGCTGGGAGTGAGAATCCAAGCCTAGGCGGACAGACTTGTGTCAGCAGGGCTCACGCTAGCGTGCTGAAAACAGCGGTGTAGATGCTGCCATTCAGGCTGGAGTTAGGCTTGAGAGCCCGAGTTCCAGCCCCAGCTATTTTTAGGGCGCAAACATGAGCCCGCCAACACGAGTGTGTCTCCCAGCTGCTGTGTAGACAGACATCTGCAGGCTCTGATTTGAGCTGCTAGCCAGCGTTAAAAGCCACGCTGCAGTGGCTTCACTGCTATTTTAACCCAAGCTAAATAACCCACGTTAAGAATACGGTTTTTTTCCCAGCCCAGAAATACCCTAAGAGGCAAACTCCGCTTCCAGTTACTCCCATGCAAACCTCTGTCCGGTAACAGGGAGAAGAATTTACTTCTCAAATATAAAGAGATGATCCCCTGATACCAACACAGCAAATGTTTACTGTGGTCCCGATCCAAGAAAGCATTTCGGCACCAAGGTATTTTTAAGCATGTGAGTGGATCCCACTGACATCAGTGGTTCAGGATCAGGCATGGAACTATTCACATGCTTCAAGCTATGCAGGTGCTAGCAGGTTTGAAGGATCTAGGACAGAAGAGTTTGACATTGTAAGGTGCTGGCCACTTCCACCAAGGTTCTGGAAACTTTCAGCATCATGTCTTTCCTGGGACCCATGGAATGGAGACACCATTGTCTGGATGGTTTCAAACTGTGTCTGTTTTGTTACTAATCTCCAAATGGAGCTTGCAATTTTAGTCTGTGTTTACGCGAAAAGGTGTCCGTGTGCTACACGCCATATCTGGTTACCCCAGAACACAAGGGTCTTCCAAACCCATGTCACTGCTATCTGCTCTCTCTCTAGAATAGATCAAAGTAAATGAACAGATCTAGACACCTCTTCTGAACACCAGGAAACCAGAAATCCAGTGTCACACATGTTTCCAGCTTCTAACCATCTCAGACTTTATGAGAAACTGAATTTACTCGCAATTTACAAGAGACACATTTATAGTATTCCTCCCTTCAACCTATATTTTCAAAATTGGATGCCTACTGCTAGAAATCCAGAGTCTGATGCTCTGTTGCTTCTGCAGTCACTTACCCCAGTGCAATGCGTCTGTAGAATGCTCCCAAATCAGAACGGCGATGATGTACGTTTGTATGGCACTCGCTTTGTATTGCTGTAAATGACTGCACAAGGTACAGGGTAATGGAGAATCAGACCCTAAAATTGATAGTTAAGCACCTAATTAAGTGAGCTGTTTTTCACAAGTGATAAACACCCTGCAGCTCCCATTGACTTGGCTGGAATCTAGGTTCTACTCAGCGCCTCTGACATTCTTTTAATTCTCATCTAAGCAAGTTGGAAAATGCCCTTACTGCACACAATTCTTTCCAACAAGATTCAGCAGCAAAAGTTTAGGAATATCCTGTTGAAAGATCAGAGAAACTTACTTCTGTTATTTTTATATTTAGGCAACAGAGGAAATAAAGATGCTCTAGAAAAGATGCTTTCCCATGCTAGTTACATAAGGACAAAATACTCATATTGTACACAATATCTACACTACTCCACAGCTTCGGGAATGCTGCCGATGTTGAAAAAAGTTTCTCTCTCAATTAGTATCGGTGACAGAAAAGCGACTCCTAAAACATAATCCCCTAAGTGAAGGCTCAGCTTTAAGCTACATTTCTTCTGCTTATTCTCCAAAGCAATTTAAAAAAAGCATGTTTAAAAGAAAGATGTCCAATTAATTTTAGGGGAAGTGGGCAATATGCAGCAGATGTAAAATTTCACTTTAAAATGTTCCATCATCATTCAATGCAATACAATTTGCACGAGGACTTATAGATAAAATTATTTCCCATTTTTATTTCTAGGCACACAAGAGACATGTTTAAAGATGTGAAATACATTTTGCCACCAATGGGTCATGTGAAACTTGCAGGCTTTAACTAGCCAGTTGGAAACTGGCAGCCATCCATGGCTACGGTTCAGCAAAGCAACAATTTCTCTGAAAGACCTGCAGGATATTAAGAACATAGCCGCCGTCTGCCTTATTCCTTGGTAGGGGCTTCGATAGGGTGGAATTTTTGGAGAGGTGCAATGTACAAAAGAAAATATTACCTCTAGGAAAGCGTTTAGCATTAGCCTTTATACAGACACGTTATTAGAAACATCTGAGAAGCAAGCCACGAGAAATGGTAGTGGCACTGGAAATAAGCTCTGTGGTTCTTTAATCATCCCTCTCAACTGTACTACTGTCCTTAATAAGTTAATTATATATATGAGGGGAAGGTGGGAGAGACATGGTTAGGTACACAAGGAAAACCGCCAGGTAAGGAGATTGTCACGGTTTGGAATCCATTTCCTGAAGGTAAATAACATGTCCTGGTGCCATAGCCTCTTGAGTCAGCATTTCGGAAGTTGAGAATTTGCTAAAACCGAATGCGTGGTAACAGCAGGCTGTACTAGACCAAGTAAATCTGAGGCTATGAACGAGGCACAGTTGAGAGCGATTTACCCTGAATGGGCTGAACACCCAACGCCCGTGGCAGGCTCCAAGCTGGTAACAGAAAGGAATTTGGGTCATAGTTTCTCACACATGTATTTTTAGATCAACTGCTTGCAAGCTGATCTGCCTCCCATGGCTTCAGGGGGCAGCTGTGCCCTGTGCAAAATTGGCATTATGTAGGGTGCTGGACTGACACTCCTGGTGACGAGTCACGTATCCACCGGAGGGGGACAGTCTGAGCCGAGCCTGCATAACTCTCTATTTCCCACTTATTTCTCAGCGCTTCTGCTGAGATGGCCACCTCAAGGGCCAATGACCGGGGTGGCCTTGTATTATGGAAACCAGAATCAGAACCAACCATCACCGGATCGCTGCACAGCCAACCACAACATTCAATTCTTAGCCGGTGCCTGGATGCATCGTTATTTTGCTACTCTAGGTTTTTTGAATCACCGTAACGATCAATGACAACTGGTGGAGTTAGGGAGTGGAAGAAACCCGACGCTCCTGACCATGTTAAATGGGGGAAGCCCTACACCATTCCATTAAGAAACAAATTCTTTGTCTGGAACACCTTTGTGTGAGCAAATTATGATTCCAATCCAGGCCAAGGCTTTTCTTTAGATAAGGACCCCCACCGCCTTTGAGGTGTCCAAAAGAAAATGTATCCCCCATCCCCCCCCCACAATGCCCACCTCTCTAAGAGTTCCAGTCTCCAAACCAATACCAAAGTGAATGGTACCTTCCAACGTACTTTAACCATCAGTGCATAGACTGACTGTTGATGGTGGCTTCTTGGATCAGGCAAACTCCTCTTGGCTAGAGTCTTTCATAGGGCCAGAAGTAACTTGGGCATGTGGATTTTCCATCCCAATAAAATCCCACGTGTTTCCTCCAACCATGCCTAACTAGCCGATTTCTCATCCTTCCCGAGTAACCAGAGGGCATCAACACACCGGTGTTAAAGCTAGAACTGAGCCATGGAGTAGAACTTCATTTCAGATAGACGCTCAGTGACATTTTATATTTTTTTTCATTGTGTCCATTTCTCTCTTAACTGAATTTTCCCTGCTGGAATTAGAGATACAATGTATCAAAATGGTACATCTTGGATGGGCATCATGTATTACACAATGGATGAGCAATTATTTTTTCCTCACACATGATTATTTTAGTCCAAAAGGGCTAAACTTTGTCAAGAGCCAAATTTATCCAAAATTCAGCTCAACTCTGACTCAAACCTTTCCTACTTAATCTCACAAAAGGTAGAGAGGGAGGCCCTTTAAGAACACAGTCATCTGTCTAAAAACATAAGCCTAGAGAAGTTCTGAATGTCACTTCTGATTTACAAAGTTGGAAGGTCCAAATGGGTTCACTTACTGGAGCAGGAAAACATACTGGGGACAAAATGACCTCCTAGGCACCTCTCTAATAGATTTCATCTGCTATACGCATTTTACATAAGAAACTGACAGAGATGTGGGATGCAGCTGAAGTTTGCATTTCAGTGACTAGTCCTTCCAAAGCAAAGTGGTATGATTTTTCTGTAGGGAGGTGTAATTAAGTCAAATACCTTGCAAAGAGAGCACAGATGCTATTACTACCACCGTTATTGTTCCTTCTTCACTAAACTTTCTGTCTATAGTTTCCTCATTGCAGGTCTGACTCCTCTTACTTTTACACTAGATAAATGCGTTTGTTTTCAAATTCATTTGCATTTGGATACTCTTAAGACTAAAAGAAAACACAAAGTAATGACCCCCTATAACAACAGATATATGTATACAGGATATATACACATACACACATGCACCAGCTCCCCTGCAGTCCCAGTTTAAGGAGTTAGTACATGTTTGTGAATAGAGCACTGGAAGGAGGTGATGTGGTAATGCCAGGGGGAAGGAGGAGGGATACACATTAAACCTTTTAAGAGTGACAACATTTTAGAGATTATTGTCATATGAAATGTTCAGGGAGATCATCTTGCAAAGAGTGCATATCTAGGAGCAGCGAAACTTACACACTGATGTCTTCTGATTATTGTCCTTGCTGGGCATCAGCTTCACTCCTCTGGATTTCAGTTCAATTTGCTTCTTGACTGGAAAGAGATTTTAACCAAAAGAGAGAGAGAGAGATTTAGCTAGATTTTAAGGATTATTGATTTGATTCAGAGACTTCGAAGCACCAATTTTGGGGGGCATCCCCTGTTAACGCAGTGTTTGTACAGCACCTTGCACAACGAGGCCCTGATCCTGAGTAAAACCAAACAAAATAATAAAATGACCACAGGTCCCAGAATTCACAATAACCTTAGCATGATTATTTATACCAACTTCCATAGCAAAAAGTTTTGTGTGGCCTATTTATTATTCGCCTGTTTGGTTGGCCAATCTGGAAGCAAAATCAATAACTTGTGACTTAGATGACCAACAGACACAGTATGAACAACCAACAGTGAATATTCCACGTGCCAGTAAATGGGTGCGGGGGGATCCAAAGGAACGAAGCTGCACCATTGTAAGCTCTCTGGTAGAGCTGCTCTAAGTCGAAAGGAGAGAAGTCTCCTGTCAACTTAATTAATCCACCCCCAGCTATGTCGATGGGAGAACTTCTCCCGCGGAAATAGCACTGTCTCCACCGGCGCTTAGGTCGGTGTTGTCGCTCAGCGGGGTGGCTTTTTCACTAGCAGCAGTGCTATGTTTGGGGGCTAGGAGAGCAGACTTTAGTGGGGTTTTGGTTTTAATATGAGAAAAGAGTAATCTTGCCTCTGAAAGCAAAGTGCCCATAGTCATTCTACATGATTCTTTCCATTGTAGTTTTATTTTCATCTGTTCAGCCAGTTTATACTTCATTTCAAGTGGTTCCCTCTGTGTACTTTATTGTTTCATGCTTTCATCTCTACATTAGCACATTTCTAAGACAACGTTGTCAAGAAAAATTACCACTAAAACTAGCAGGGATTTTAATCAACTTTTGCGTGCGTGTGTGTTGAAACAAAATCTGTTAATAGCATCTGTGTGCAAGAACTTCAGGCAGGGAGAGGTCAAATACCTTTTCTTGAAGCTTACCCCAAGTAACACATGCTCTGCTCTACATGTTTGTTGGCACCTTTTCACTTTATCATGTGGCTATGGCATTTTGAGGGATTTTTTCCCCCTTATCTTTAAATAAAGCAGTCAAAATGTCAAGCTGAGATCAGGTCCATAGTCATAAATATATACGTATGTGGGCTTAGGCAACTCTTGTCTTTCCGACACGCATTAATGGCTTTCATCTTTTGGGCAGGGCAAAATAATGACTAGTATGCTGATTGGAGAGGAAAACCTGAGACACACAAGTCTTGTTTAAACGTAAACCAGTTGCACATAGGCTAAGGACTACGCTTGTCTCAGAATGCCTTAACTGGCAATACTCATCTAGGGTCAGATAGCATAATGACTTCTGGCTATAGGCAATCCGGTGTCTCCTGAGTCATTAGTTAACAGCAAACCTGCTGCACGCCAAAATGCTAACTTTGGCTGCAAAAGTCCAGACTGTTTTGGGAAGCCAAGGAGCTATTTCTAGCTCAGCGAATCGGTAACTTTCCCAAATTTCCTCAACTTTGGAAAAATCACAGTGTCACAGTTCATGTTTCGCTTGTTCTCTAACCACTTCGTAAATTTTACAACATTGGAGAAACTTGGGAAAGAAACAGAAGAAAAAGGGGAAGAAGGATGGTGGGAGAGGAAAAAAAAAAGTGACAGGAACCTCCCCCCCCCCCCCAAAAAAAATCCCTCGTTTGATTGCAATCAGTGTCAAAAAGGAAAGAATGGGGAAAATGAAAACTGAAAACCTTGAATTGTTGTGGTTTTCAAAAACTGAAACTAAATGAAAATGTCCAGCTAGCAATGAGAACATAAAAATGTTGTTCTGAGGCGATCTGACACATTCCAGGCACTAGAGGGCAGTGGTATACAGATACACTGTTAAAGGCACAGGGCAAATTTCGTTCTGATGTAAGAAAATGATTGAAATCCTGTTGCATTTGGTCTGGGTTTTTCCCATAAAACCTTTTCATATAGAAGCAGGTCAAAAGGGTTCTATCGCTAGTCTCAGAGGACCATGATGGTGCGGGAGGGAAGAATCTCTTTGGAAACTATACTTGGAGAAAACAGTATGTGTGAAGACTGCAAAGCATCGAGTGGGCACCTTCACAAATGGCTAGGAAGCAAGCTTAGCAATTTGAAAGCATTTGTTAGTTTCAGTAGCCAGTAACCCACTCATGAGGTTCCTCTTTATAGATCCAGATTTCCCATCATTCCACAAAAATTGGAGGTAATTCCTACCAGCGTAAAGTATTCACAACAGAAATACAGATCCATTTAACTAGATGCTACTTATACTGAAGGAATTAATCCTGTATCATCTCAAGATTCCTGAACAAGTTGTTTTCTTGTGTCCCATGTGATGGGCCTTTGCCCCACACTGAATTCCATGTCAGAACCTTGACTGGCTAAGGAGTATACAAATACTGGTACCTTAGATCCAATCTTGAAAATCATCCCATGGATGGAATATACCTCTATATAATATATGACATTGGGCTACAAAGATTACCTGTGCCCTCTGTATAGATGCACACTGTACACTAGTCAGCAGTCCTTTCCGTAATGCTTTAAACCAGGCCAGGGTTTAGGGGAACGCTTTGGGGTGGCACTGTGCTGTATTTAGCTAGAGAGCCAGAGAAAAAGGCAGGCTCTGTCTGCAGCCTGCAGCCTCAATGAAGAATCTCTTTCATATACATTACAACGGAGTCCTTT